GTATGCACAATATAGGGCATCCTGAAAATATTGAAGGAATTGCTTCATTCAATAATTTTGGCTTTTTTAATTGCACCTGTCAAAAAATATATTTAGAAAGATATATTTTTACTTTGTGTTCAAAGAAAATATTTTATAATAGATACCTATTTACAATAAATGAATGAAAGAATATATATGGATAATTGTATTACCTGGAATAGCTATAACTAGCTTCGTTACAGTATCTTTTATTATTTAATAATATTCATGTAAATATACCTACTTAATTTAACATGATTTTTTTAGTTATCGCACAGATTGTTATTTTAAATAAAACAAAATATATTAAGAACATATATTATATTATTATTATTATTAAATACTTTTATTTGTGAGTCTCCCTCTCCAGAACTCCAAAACCATATAATTTCTTCTTCTTTGAAGTGCTTTGAACAAACAAATGAATTTGTGCTTAGTTCAATATCCCTTTTTGGTATAACTTTTGACATTTATCAAAATCTGGTTTTTTTGTAGGAGCTTTAAACTAATATTATAAGACTGGTAAAGCATATGTAGCCAGTGCTTGAATTGGGGAGGTTGAAGTCTTCTCTTTTAATAATATTTGAACATAGGTACCCCTTTAACTATATTCTAGTCAATAAGGGAGGGAGGTAGGTAGGTATATAATTAGATATCTGCAGTTACATACAATTCTTTTAATTTTTGCACCACTGTACCTACATTTTTTTTTAAATTTAACCATTGGATGTATCCAATAATTATCATTTCAAAATGACATAAATTATGATTATATTTTAATGTTTATTTTCCTTATCCTTGCAATTTGCATAACCAGATTTGCAATATACTATAAAACACTTCACCATTCTACACAAAAACAATTGAAAACATTCAAATAAGTAAACAATTTATTATTATACTTTGATTTCGTTATGGTGAAAAATGTATTACAATATAAAATATAATTTACATTTCATTGTAGACAAAATATAGTACATACCTACCTATAATTTTAATATAAACAAACATTTTAGTTAGGGCAAAAAGTCTGTTACGCGATCTAGCGGTGAGAACCTTATTAAAACATATTTCTCGTGACACAATATTATCCCCGTAATTATCATTCTACGTATCTCTGCACATTGAGCTAAAAGTAAGCGATTATCACTCATATTCTCGTGTAGGGAGAATTTGTCCTGCTACTGATCTTATTGACTCCTCTTTTCTGATCTTTGCATTAAAGTCGTCCATCATAATAATGTTGTGTTTAGATATCTTATCAATGCATTTATCTAGGCTGTCGTAAAGATTTTCTTTTTTGTCAGAGGCTTCAGTTGGAGTGTGTACTTAGAGTTTTGTTGTGTTTCTGAATTTTCCTTTGAGTTATTTTGCATATTCTGGCTGATATGGCTTCAAGTTAAAAAAGAACTTGTTAATTTCCTTGCTTATGTAGAATCCGACGCCATAACTTCCTGTTTTCTTTTCTAGACCACTATAGTATAATGTATAGTCTTTCGTATGTATAGATCCTTGTCCGTGCCATCCAAGCTCCTGTAGTGCTACTAAGTCAATGTTATATTTTATAATATCTAATGATAATCCGTTTATTTCCCTGCTTGTAGTAAAGTTTGTATATTCCATGTTGCGATTGTTCAATCTGTTTTCCTTTGTTTAATCCTCTTAGTCCGATTTTCGTGTCCAGTCTTTATCCCATTCTCTATGTCAGAGTTTTGATTTCTTTGTTTTGGTTGCGTAACAGTTCTTTTTACTGGAATAGGTTGTTAGCCTCTCGCTGTATCCCCTGCCAGAAGGACTGTGTCCACTTTGATCGCCTTTTACGATCAATGTGGACTACCATTCTACCTCCCACTCAAAGGGGTGTTCACTAATACTGCTTCAGTAGAAACACTTACCAAATTATTTACGCTATTGAGTTTTAAGTCTGCTTTATATATTAAAGTTTATTATATGAGCCTGACCACCAAATTTTGTGTAGTGTGTAGAAGAGATCTACACATTATTTTATTTATTGTTGATCTCGTTGAAAAACTTGATTTAGATTTAATTTACATATTGCTACATTTATGTTGTTTAATGTTATTATTGGTGATTTTGTATAGCTGATGATGTGCATACAGTATATGTCGAAACTGATGATAACCCACGTGTTATCCTTTGTCACTTGTCTAAAGCATCAAAACTGTTCCAATGCCGATTGGATCATATTTTCCCTCGAGGAACAGATTTAAAGTTTGTTACATCAGCCACTGCTAACATACATATGACTGGTATTTATTTGACTTTAGATTTGATTATATAATTTAAATTAACGTTTGGCTTATGAATTTATAGGATATTTAGACTTAAATGAAGACGATGAATTATATTCTGATTTAGAAAGTGAATCTGAAAATGAAGAAAACTTAACCGAAAATAAAGCTGTGCAAGGAAAAGGTACTTTTTTTTAAATATTATTGTATAAGTATTCTTTATTAGTAGTTATATACTAACTCAAAAGAAGATACTTCTTTTATTTAAAACTTACCTGTGAAATGAAGTCATTAAGTAACTGTATTGTATATTAAGTTTAAAGGGGTTCATATTAGAAAAGCTTTTTAAAYATTAAGACTGTGATTATTATTTTAATTTAATTTACTAATATTCTACACTAATATCAATCAATTGATTTGATAAAAAAAAACTACTAATTATAATGGTTTATCAAGAAAATGACACATGTTAACTTCAKCCTACAAACATATAACAGCACATAGTACGTTCTGAATACTTCATTTTATAGTGAATTGACCTATCACTAAATTAGAAGTAAGGATATGATTAGTTGACAATATAGGTTTTTTTGAGGGTTTTTATTTATTTCAATTTTAAAGCGAGTTAATTTTCTGTATAATTTAAAATGCACATAATTTTCTTAAAAAATTTTAATTTAAAAAAAAATCTTGTTTTTTGTAAACATTTATCAATTTAACAGATGTAGTTGGAATTTAACTTGTGCACGAGAGCATGTTAATACTACATAGATAATGTACAGATGTTGACAAACAGTTTTTGCCTGACAAAACTGGTCACTGATGTTGTTTTTTTTAACTTGAACAGAGTATAATTAATATTCTTACTTTTATTTTAGTAATATGGTCAGTTTACTTTTAACTTAAGAGTAAGATGGAAGACATTCAGTTATCGTCTTAATAATTGTTCCACACTTCGAAACATGTAGAGGGTCTATCATCAAAATTTTGGGGATTTGATACCGACAATTTTTAAAGAATTAATTAAGGCAGCTATCTATACTCCAGCCACCGAGAAACCTCTATTAAGCGGCATCCAAACCTTGTCTGTTCTCGCCCACTAACGCCCACCTAACCTAACCAAACCTCAGGTTTGCTGGCCGCCATCATGGATTTTGTCGCTGCATTGCAAGTGATGGTATTTTGCTCTGCAAATAAGTAGTAAAGTGGGAGCAAACTGTGGAGCTTGTTCATTTGATTGCTGATTGCACCAAGGAGTAGTGCTCTCTCGGTCTCGGTGGCCAGAATATATGTATTATAATATATAATATATGTTCATATATTGGTTTTATAAATATGTACGCAATAAGTGGGTTATTTCATGTGAGTGACTGCATAGAATAGATCAATATTTTTGGTCAAAATTATTATAAGCCAGACAAAACTACAAAACTGGTCAAATTAAAATTTTTTTAAATTATCTCATTTGATTTGTCAATAAGTGAACTATCAAGGTATTTCCTAGTACTAAATCTAAACTATTTTAATTGCTCAAAAAATAGTTTACAATATAATATCTATGCAAGTTTAATTTTAAACATCCCAATCTTAAGAAATAGAAAGAAAAATTTCTCCAATTAAATTATTAAAATAATGATCAATTTTTAGAAATAAAATTCAACCACCTAATACCCCATACTTTTAATTTATTTAAATAAAATCTAGTTATATTTCGACTATTAAATATGCTTTTGAGTAGCATAACAATGAATGAATTGGGTTTTACTATTAACATTCTTGCATGATATTTGTAATGATTTAAAGGTAATAAAAGAAAATCTGAAGATAATGGTTCAAAAAAAAATAAATCTATTAAATTGGATGAGACTAATCAGTCTGATGAAGAAAGTGACGATGATGATGAAACCMTGGATTTTGAAGATGATAGTGATGATGATGAAGGATTAAAATGTAAGTTTTTATTTAGTTATCTACTTTAATTTTACCATAGCATAAAAGATCCAAAATCCAAATAGCACTTAGGTCACTGATTGCTGTTACTCAAAAACTACACAACATGCAAATTTGAAATTTTGAATAGAGGTTCTTCTTATATTTTCAACATGCAATAAGATAGGATTTTCAAAAATGTTGTGAGTTTCAGTGGAGTAATTAACAATTATAATTATTCGCCAACAATAAGTATTATGCTGTACAGCGGCCCTCGAATTTCCATATACCTGCACCTATCCTTTTGTCATTAATTTGGATAAGAATTGTTCCGGCGAGTTTATGAATAAAAATAATCTCATGCATCACGCGTATGCCAATACTC